AGTCCTGACCAACACACACAAAGAGACATGTACATCCTACATGTGAGAGGATTCCCTGTTAAAATTATATTGCTGTGAAGTGTTATGACTGTTGTCCCTCAGACAGATGCCTTTCAATGCTTTACTATTTGTATGGGAAAGAAAGCTCTCATTCATGCCAGTGGAAGACCTTTTCCCAAAGCAAATGGCATAGCAAGAATTGCTCTTTTCAATCAGGATTCGGGGCATGGGGAGGGAATAACATAGGGTTAAAGTCCCCTCTCTAGCAACTCATATAGGCCCTGGTCCAGATTGGCTGCACCTGCTATTTGCTTTTTAAAAACCATTAATGCAATTATCTAATTGTGTCAATTGTGGGCTTGTCTGCTTTGACTCTAGCATGACATTAAAAAGAGATTACAGTAGATAAATTCATCAGGGAGCAGAATTCTGTTGAGGACTGCCAGAATCCTGCCTGAAACACTGGAGAACTGCAATCAGTCACTTGGCAATACTTGGTCTGATACAAAGGGAATTTCCTATGTTCCTATGACAATGTTATCTGATGTCCACAATGCTTTGTCTTTGTGTCATTTTTTGTTTTATCATCATTCATTTTATCATCATTTTATTCTGATTTGGCTATCAAGCTAAAGAATACAGGTATACCACAGTAAATGAAGTAGATTATCTGTTGTTGTTATTGTTGTTGTTGTTATTATTATTATTATTATTATTATTATTATTATTATTATTATTATTTCTATTTCGTATTTTTCCCAGTTTGGACTCCAAGCAGTTTACAACACAAAATATATAGTTAATTCACAAAATACAACAACTAAAAATTAAAACCAGATTAAAAGATACACTGGGAGCCAGCGTTGAGTGTTGGAATACGACTCTGGAGACCAGGGTTCGAATCCACACTGAGCCATGAAAACTGACTGGATCTTGGGCAAGTTGCATTCTCTCAACCTCAGAGGAAGGCAATGGCAACCGCCCTCTGAACATATTTTGCCAAGAAAACCCAATGATAGGTTCACCTTAGGGTTACCATAAATCAGAAATGACTTAGCAACAACAAAACAAGCACTACTAAACACAGGTGTGTGTGCGTGGGTGTGAGTGCACACCCACACCCACACACCCCAACACAACTGGCAAAATCCAACACATTGTTTAGGTGAGATTGGCCTTATACAATTATCAAATACCTGCTGAAACAGAAACGTCTTTATATATCTGCAAACAGAAAGTAGGAAGGGTGCCAGTCTAACTTCTCTGGGAAAAGAGTTCTAGAGCCTGGGGGCAACCACTGAGAAAGCTCTGATCCATGTCCCCACGAAATGCATGTGTGAGGGTGGTGGGACAGAGAGAAGGGCCTCCCCAGCAGATCTC